CTCCGAGGGTGGTGAATATATTTCGCGCCCACGTAGCCGTGGCACAGTAGTTTCGCATCGCGACCTCGCCTTTTCTCTCACATTGTCGCCCGCATAAATCGGGCAATAAAAGCAGCGCGAAGATGTGGTGGCCAAAATTTTCCCTTTTCTCTCTCTCTCTCTCTCTATCTTCTACGAGATATGAAAAATTATTGGTATATTAATAAATTATTTATTTTTATATTATATATTATATATATTATATATTATGAGTTGTAGAAATTAATCGACCAAACTAGCGAGTAAATGATTTATTCAGCTTCACAATTTACAACTCCTATTTAAACACTAATGATTGTTATTAATAATTTTGGGAATTTATTATATATTATATTTTATATATTATACATTATATATTATATTCATATATTAATTATATATGCGCTATTTCTATTAACTAAAAGCCATATTTTGTTGCTAATACAATATAGAGAAAAGGAATTTTCATGTAATTTTAATGATAAAATTTAAAGATTATAATATATTATATATATATATATATATATATATATATATATATAAAATTATTTAATTTCATATATAAATATAATTTTATATTATATAATAATTTTATATTACATAAAATATGTATATATAATATCATTTAACCATTTTATAATTCTTTATTATTGAAATTAAATTTTTTTTCCTCTGGATCGTATTAACAGCTTCACACAAGAATGACTATTAATAATTCACTTAAGAAATCCTCGACTTCTATCACACTTGACAGTCAATTAGGCGAATAGGCGGCCAATCATCGCGAAGATCCGCTAATCATTTGTCGGCGAAACGATCGTTTGAAGTATCAATCGAGCAATCAAACGCGTCCACTTAAGCCAGGATTTATACGAATCATTTATCATCGCGTAGATGTAGAGGGGAAATACACACATTCTGCGACGATTATCGCGAAGAAGTATCATGTTTACCGCGGCGCCTAAGTCCCTGTAAACTCGTGTAAATAGTTACATTACGATGGAATAAAAATAATTATTTTCTCTCTCCTTCTCTCCCTCCTTCTGTTTATCTACCTGGAGTAACAACTGGCTGTCCGCGGGAATCGCATCAGCGTCAGCAACTCCGTTCCTCGAAAAGGGCCTCGAGCGTTTTCGCGATTATTTCCATAAATCCGCGCTTATGCCATCCACTGTCAGCCGCCGTATTTGTTTTGATGTAACCAATCACTCGCACTCCTCATCCGACCTAGTTCTCCGCGTTCGTTCGTTTATGGAACGCATTTGTGCGATAATCGAGTGTGACAAAAATTGTCTCTTCGAAGTAGTTGACATTTTTGACAATATTAAGCACTGTTTTGCCGATAGAAACGTGAAGTTGGATTCGATCATAAGTCTTTTATTGACTATACTCATGTGAATTCAAGTACTAATATTTTAATTGACTAAACAGATTGATAAATCGTTTTCCACAATTAATATTAACAAAAAGATTTTTCAATCTATATTTCTATCGATAAAACGTGAACTCATAAATTTATGAGTTCAATATTTTGATTGATTAAACAGATTGAAAAATTCTTTTCCACAATTAAAGTATTAATATTAACAAATAGGGGGGCAAAAAGGATTTTTCAATCTGTATAGTCAATAAAAAGACTCATGATGAATCCAACTTCTCATTTCTATTGATAAAACTTGAACTCATTTTATGAGTTCAAGTACCAATATTTTGATTGACTAAACAGATTGAAAAATCCTTTGCCACAATTAATATTAACAAAAAAGATTTTTCAATCTATATTTCTATCAATAAAACGTGACCTCATAAATTTATGAGTTCAATATTTTGATTGATTAAACAGATTGAAAAATTCTTTTCCACAATTAAAGTATTAATATTAACAAATAGGAGGGCAAAAAGGATTTTTCAATCTGTATAGTCAATAAAAAGACTCATGATGAATCCAACTTCTTATTTCTATTGATAGAACTTGAACTCATTTTATGAGTTCAAGTACCAATATTTTGATTGACTAAACACATTGAAAAATTCTTTGCCACAATTAAAGTATTAATATTAACAAACAGGGGGGCGAAAAGGATTTTTCAATTTGTATAGTCAATAAAAACTCATGATTGAATCCAACTTCATTTTTATCGATAAAACGTAAACTCATTTTATGAGTTCAAATACCAATATTTTGATTGACTAAACAGATTGAAAAATCTTTTGGTAGAGGAGGAAAGGATAAAATGTATCCCTGCGAATTTCGCACGCTCTTGGGAATCTCGCTACGATTTTGATCCCACGTGTCTCAGTTTTTCATCCGAGGGAGGAGGAAAAAAAGTGAGAGAGATAGCCGCGTGTTTAGCCATGCGAAACAGTCGGGGGATATAAACACACCGAAAGTACCACGTGTAACGGTAGAGGGGTCTCGCATCCTCGGGATTTATGGATCGATAGACCCGTTAAATTTGTTAGAACTGTTAGCCTCATAAATTGCCAGATGGATCCGCGGATCGCCGGCTTCGTAAATTGCCGAGATCTATCGGTCGTTCAATTACAAAGCCGTTGATCCATAAAATCCTCACGCTTTCTCGCTGTGTATTACGTATATTTATGTACACGATGATCCGAAATCGAATCGATTACGCGCGCTCTTCCTCATTCTCCATTTTTCACTTTCTATTTCTAATAAATGCACGATGTCAGTTGGGCTCTTGGTAGAATTTTTCCTAAATATACTGATAATTTTTCCTAAATATAGCACTGAAAAATTTGTTAACTTTACTTTACCTTTCGACTAAAAACATATTAGTATTTAAGTAAAATACATGTTTTGTGTTAGATTTAATGTATTATATTTAATTTAAATATTTTTATATGTTCTATTTACAAAATAATATTTCGTTGAAAGGTTTAGTCAAGTTAACATTTTTTTTCAGTGTACTGCCTACAAAGTAAAAATCGATTATGAAAACAGATTAAAAGATTTATTATATGTAAATGTAATATAAATTACATTTTTAAATCTTTATTTAAACGTTACGAGGAATTTTTATAAATTTTAAGCCATAAATGTCTTTTTGGTGCTATTATATTTTTATGAAAAATCATTCCATGATATTATTTTTTACATTGAATTTTATTTTGAATTTTTGATTAGAAGTTGTGAATTTAATATATAGGATATAACAAAAATTGTGAGCCGCTACTTCAGCAAAAAATTCATATAAACATGTGTCCAGAAATCCGTCGTTTTCATGTCACTGTCATATTGGGGTTGTTTATGATAAAGCGTATTATTTTATTTCCAATGCAAAACGGTAAAAAATAATTCTCGTATTATAAAATTATTGTTCACAGGCAAAATCGTTTTTCCAAGAATTGTCTTTAAGTAGCATCTGTGAAAGGACTGATTTAAAAATCATTTTTGGACACAAGTTTTTACAAACTATTTTGCTCATTTCGATGAGTATCTTCCTGAAGCGACATTTTCGTTGCGTTTTTGTTAAATTGAAGGAAATTAAGTAAAGATGAAAAATATGTAAATTTATCTTACAATTAGATAGGATATATAACTCTATATATATTTTTTTAAAGTTTTATATATATATATATATATATATATATATGTATATATAACTATATCTAACATATTATATATAACTGTATAGTTTTATTATATATATATATTTTTTAAGTTATATATATATATATATGTATATATAACTATATCTAACATATTATATATAACTATATAGTTTTATTATATAGTTATATAATTTTATTATAAAATGTCTGTATAAGATGACGCAAAATTTCGTCTAGATGATCATCTATATAATTTTATCTGGATAACAGCAAACATTGCTCCCAGAATATCGTTCAAATGTTCGAGCAAAAAATTTTAAAGTCCAGGGTATCTGTAAATTTGTCCGCGAGACAGTTTCGCGAGACAGCGTTCCATTAGCCGCCGTGAAAAAATTACAAATCCGGTATTTTGAAGCGCTAGATCTCTCGCAACTCGGAAACTCCCTGACGGTATTTCGCATCTATTTTTCCGACGACACACTCGCGCCAAATCCGTCGCTGTCACGGATGGCGATCGATGGCGGTGCGCTCTGATTGACGTTCGAAACCTAATATCCGAAATGCGTCAGAGAGGGAGAGGAGGAGTTTGGAAAATGTATGAGGCTGTCCTGGTCCCGAGAGAAAGGAAAGCTTATATAGAGTGTCCCAGAAAACGAGCGAGCTTTCAATCAATCGAACTTTCTTCTAATAAGAAAATGAATCTTGCTCTCTCTTGTGACGTCGCGTCGATACATCTCTTAATTAAACTCGAAGGCAAATTAGTAGTAAAACTTTATTTCTTTTATTCTTCCCGAGATTTCATTGTACGACATTATTAAAACATTTTTATTTGAAAGATGAATTTCACATCAAAAGTTAAAAAATTAAAAAACTAAAGTGTCATATTGCGGAATTTATTCCAAAGTTAAATTAGGAAATAAGAAATAATAAATTAGTATATTAGTAAAAATAAATAAATTAATAATAAATAAATAAAATAAAATAAATTAATTAAAATAATAGAATAATTTTTGTATCGACAGTGAAATAAAATTTATTATGAACGATCCAACTGTCAAAAAATAATCTTTATTCTTATGATGTCACATAGACGACGTTTCGACCCTTGGTTTGGGTCCTTTTCAAGTCTTAAAATAAATTAAAACAAATTAGAATTTATAATCACAGATTGAAATCAAATAAATCTTAACATACCTTAAAAATCACATAAAATCAGACGTGCTATGTCAAACTGTTTAATTAAACCTTTATTTACACGACCGATGACAGGGCACATAATGAGAACCTAACTTAATCTTAAAATAAATAAAATAATAAAAACAAATAAAATAAAATAAGTAAAAATAAATAAAATAAATAATAAATTAGTAAAAAAATGTTGATGATTTATTTTGAAGTAGCCGATATCGTGTGACTTATAAAGACGTTCGGATGACAGTAATCGACTTTCATGTAATTTTCTCATACAAATGTAACACTTATACGACGAGCTGTCATTCGAGAAAACTCAATTCAGTGTCTCAATTGAGAGAGGAGTGTCTTCGGATAATCTTTCCGAGTTATATCCTGTATCGTATTGCGCCGTAACGTTGTGCGAGCTGAGAATAAATTAAATTGATAGATTACATCACGGTAAAATGTCGATAGAGAGAGTTTGAGTTGAATTCGTAAACACACCAGGTTTGCTCGAAAGAATCCGATAGTAGAAAAATAGAGAAAAATCCGTGTTCGTGCGCGGAAGGAAAAAAATATTCAATCCACTTTAATAACAAAGTAACGGAATATATAAATATTAAACCTAATTTCTTTTGACAAGCTTTACATTTTTTAATTGCGAAAAATTTATTATATGAAACTTTATATATATATATATATATATATATATATATATATATATATGTTATGGCATATTAATATGCGTCACACACAGTTTCATTTCTTTAAATTTGAAATTAATAAAATGCGATACAAAAATTCGAATTATGTATTTTTATATTAAAGTATTTTTTTTACAAAACGTATTATTGTATATTTTCGCTTATTTTATATTTTTCGATATAGAGTGTAGAAATTTTATCGCACATTTTATAAATACCGTGTAGTTTCGATTGCGTAACGATATTGAGATTTTGGCGCGGATCAATTGGCAAACACATAAAAACGTTTAACACTTTAAATTCGAGAATGGTATGCGATGTAATATCGCGGCAAAAAGGGACGCAGTAGTCAGCACGGTGTATATTTACTCTCAAGGCCTGAGGGATTTGTAATTCCCATAAAAGCGTACCGTATTGTAAAATGCGATGTGACGCAATGTATCTTGCTTCTAACCTGCAACCTGCAACCGATCTCCTTCAACTCCAGTAACGTGTTTGACTTTTATGTACCCTGGATTTGAGTTACAAAAAAATTTTTTTTATTTTTAACATAAAATCGATAGGTCCCGGCTTTGTTTCTATGTATACTTTAATCGTGGAAAAGCATTTATTATTCTATTCAACCAATAAAAAGAAAAGAGTGCAGAAAAATGATCGTTTTATCGATCGAAACAGGATTAAATACCATAAAAAATTTTCTTCGAATTTATAAAAATCTTCTCTCTATTTTATACCAATATATCGGCAAGATTATAAAAAAATTTATAAACAAAAATTGTAAATAAAATTTTGTATTTATATTATGGAATTTAATTTTTTAATCAATTATATTTATTCGCGCGAATTGACATTTATAGGGGTTGAAAAATCCATTAAGAATTACTTTCTGATTTTGTTTGGATGGGAAGCGCAATATTGATTTACTTTTTTTTTTTTGAAATTAATAAGTACATCACTGCAATTTTAAGCGTTGTGTACTTACAGCCTTATGACGACGGTGCGGTACACGACGACAGGTTCTGTCTGTGTAAGCACGTTTACGAGAGAGGTTGGCCAACTGAGACTCGTAACTCGTTGGCTGGGAGTAACGTAACACGTTACCTAATCGCGCTCATGGCCTCACCTCACTCCGTCTTACCTCATTTCCTCGCGTTACGACGTGTTGTGTTTTAAGTTACGGGCTTGGTCAGCTCGAGCTGATTAATTTTATGAAAACTGTTGCAACCTGCGCTCCTGGAACGCCAGACTGAATGTAGACGGCGCGTCTGAAAACACCGGAAAATTAAGTTAGGAAGCAAAAACTTAATTGTATCAGAGCGCGAGTATATAAGTAAAGCTTCGAATAACCTTCTTGATTTTTTATCTATATTTAATGTAAGTAGTTTATCATGTAAGAAATTTTAGATATATTTATCATTTTTAAATTTATTTTTAATTTGTGTATTCAATTTTTTTATTTATTATACGTATATGTTTTTTCAATTTATTTAAATTATTAAATTTTTTTTTATATTTATCCATATTTAATATAATTATTTTATCATGTAATAGTTATAAATAAATTTTAGTTATATTTATAATACTTTTTATTTATTTTTAATTTATGTATTTAATTTTTTTATTTATTATATGTATAATAATTATATGTTTTCTCAATTTATTTAAATTATTAATAATTTTTTAATTTTAAATATATTTATAATATTTTTTATTTATTATATGTATAATAATTATATATTTTTCAATTTATTTAAATTATTAAAAACATTTTAATTGTAATGAAAGAAGAAAATTGAAGTTGCCCTCGAATCTATATTTTTGAAAAGAATGTTTAAATTGAATTTTTTTTGTGTATCAATTACTCGCAAGTTATTTGTTCGCTTGTTTTCACAATTTTATTCATATTGTTTTCGAAACTCGTTTTCAGTCAAGGTATTCCATAATTGGAATAATCGCGAGAATCTCATTCGCGAAATGACGATAAAAAATTCAAAACAGTACCTGGTCGCGACCGCAAATAAATTTCTATTGTCTCCGCGCTAACTAACCAATGGCCAATCAAAGTCGCGATAAATTTTCCCGCGCGCGCGCGAAACAATATTTCCGCATTGAGTTTTAATATTAACAATTTACGTTGATTGTCGGAAGACCGCGACGTGCTCAACAAATTTGCGTGTATCAAGAGCGATATGAGGGAACTTCTCTCTCTCCTTCCCTCGAACAAACTCTCGACTCTGTGTGTTGTTACAGACCGCAAAATGCGATAATAAGTTATGGTCGCTCTTGTCTTGAAGACGGGAAACTGATGTTATATCAACGCAAGTCAAGCATCAGACTTCGCCTGTGAGAAACTTGCAAACTTGCATTAGTCTTGTGTTGCTTGTGCAATTAGCGCTAATTCGACGATACCTGTATTGTTAGCAGTCATATCACACTGATATTAACGCGACGCTTATATAATATTTACATCTTTTCTTCGATTTTTTATACAACTATGAATTGTCATTAATAATTTTCAGTTTCAACATTATTTCGTTAAATAGTAAACACAAAATACACCATACTGAAAATTTTAATTTATTTATTTCAATTTTTCCAAGATGTAAAAAATTAAGATTTTTGAAAAAATAAGTTTGACAGAAGAAAAAGAAATTTAATTTTTTTATCTATTTAAAAAATTAGAATTAATTTTTTATAATATAAGATATGATATTTGAATGAGAGAAGAAAGTTGAAGTTGCCCTCGAATGTATAACATATATTTTTGAAAAGATAGTTTAAATTGAATTTTAAAAAATTCAAATTTTTAAATTTTTAATCCAAAAATTAAATATAAAATTACTATGAATTATAATTATATTATTTTTAACAACTAAATTAAATTTAAAAAAATTCAATTTAATTGTTAAAAATAATATAATTATAATTTATAGTAATTTTATATTTAATTTTTGGATTAAAAATTTAAATTCATCAAAAATTTTTTTAAATTAAATTTCCTTTTTTTTTGTCAAAAGACTTATTTTTAAAAAAATTTTACTTTTTTTTATATAAAAATTGGAATTAATTAATTAAAAATTTCAGCCCAGAAGTTAAACAGTTTAAAAATAAGATACTATGAATTGTATCATATTTTGTATAATTTTTTATAATACAATAAACGATACAATTCTTTTGCGTTATATATATAATAAATCGATGAATTGTTTTCTCTACACAGACAAAATTTTTTTTAAGAATATAGATTTTGAAAACAGAGCAAACTCCCGTAATGTGATTATTGTGTAAATCATGTTCAATCATTGAAGGATTGATTTCTCAGCCAAATGACATATAGTCTTTTCAACGTCTCGCTGATAATATCGCAAACCGCAGGAACATGCGTTATGGAAATCGCGATATAGTTTGGTATCGATTGATCGATTGTGCGGTTTAGCGATATAGGATCGAAAAGAAAGACACGTATTACCGAGCCGATGTAATCAGCTGACTACTGCTAGTAGTCACAGCTACTGTAAGTAGGTTAATAGCGGACCTAATGGTTTTGTTCAGCTTTGACAATAGGCGAACCACCTGTTATAGTCAATCGCCTAAAGGAATACATGATTGACATGAATCTTTTCAATATAATGATTATTGACACTTCTCTTCCTTCTTAATTTTACATTTATTTAATTATCGAGATAAGATATAAATGTGATTTTTAGAATAACATAATTTATAGTAATTTTATTTTTAAACTATTTAATTTGTGGGCCGAAATTTTAAATTAATTAATTCCAATTTTTAAAAATTTAGAAAAAATAAGTCTTTTTTTTGACAGAAGAAAAAAAAATTAAATTTTTTTCCATTTAAAAAATTAGAATTGATGAATTTAAATTTTTAGTCCAGAAATTAAACATAAGATTACTATATGAGTTATAATTACATTATTTAAAAAACATCGAGATAAAATATGAATGCGATTTTTAGAATAGCAATTCATAGTATCTTATTTTTAAACCGTTTAATTTCTGGGCTGAACATTTTAATTAATTAATTCCAATTTTTCAAGATATAAAAAAATTAAACATTTTGAAAAAATAAGTTTTTTGACAGAAGAAAAAGAAATGTATTTAATTTTTAACTATTTATCTATTTAAAAAAAATTAGAATTAATCAATGTAAATTTTTAGTGGATAAATTAAATATAAGATTACTATGAATTATAATTATATTATTTTTAAAATCGCATTTAAATATCATATATCTTAATATAGTCGAAATATTAATTTAATCCTCTTATCTTTATTTAACAGTAGTATAGATAAACGCTTCGGAATCGCATAATTCTTAATGCACTTATACTTACGTACACATATATTTTTTTACGATCTTTTCCTACAATTTTCTGCGTTTATTACTGTTACGTTAATACCCGACCATCTGTACTTTATCATTTACACAAGCGTAATTGCAAAACTAAAGTACGAAACATATTAAACTTGGAATGGGTTCTGGCAGATTACCTGTCGATGATTACTAAATTTGAAGGCAGCAGAATAGTCGAGTTTACGTTGCGCAACTTGAACAGCAATCGCTCTAAACGACGTAGATTTCAATGTGCGTGTGTTGGTCCATCATGAAACTGGTCGATTTCGTTCCTAGAACAGCGAAAGTGTTCTAGTCCCTCTTAAATGAAAGTCGATGCAACGCAACGATACATTGCGCAAAATTATTTTATTTTTATTTCTCAACAATTTTAAATTAATTTATTCCAATTTTTCGAGATATAAAAAATTAGTATTTTGACAGAAGAAGAAATTTAATTTTTTTTCTATTTACAAACTGTTGTTTTTTTCCTGTTTTATCGACAAAATGTGAGGTTAGATAAAGTATAAATCTATTTATTGGCTATTTGGATTGTTTTTTTACCTGACCAGGCTGGATTTGGCATTGAATAAAGGAATATAAGTGAACGTTCAGATATCAATTTGGAAGCCTAGTAAACGAGAATAACTCATCCTACATTTTTGTGCACACATGAAAATGTATACTCAATAAATGGATTTATAGTTTATCTAACCTCACCTCACATTTTGTCGATAAAACAGGAAAAAAACAACAGACAACTTTTCAATGGCGTTTAGGATCCTCTTAAATATAAGATTATTCGTCAATTATTATTAATATCATTATTATTACTTATTGTATATTAACAATTAATTTTTATATTTATCGATTATAATTGATTTATACATTATTTTTTTCTTCTTCTGCTCATCGTTTTAATTCTCTCGTCTAAATTCGATACAAAAGATGACATCACGTTAAAGTTTATTTTCGCTGGAAATGTCAAAAGACAAAGCGTTTATCCGGGCATAATAATCGCGGTCAACGAGTACGTGTACGAATCTGAGGACATGTTGCCGCTGCCGTGGGAAAGAAAAGGAGAGAAGGTGAGAGAAAAAGAGATAGAGAGCGTCGACAAGCGTTGTCAGGCAGGATAAATTGACGGCTGTCTCCTTCGAAATGGCTCCCCGGGGTCCGGTGCTATGCGGCGACGAAGAAAGGTGATACCTAACCCACCCTTCGTCGGCGCGGCACTTCCGGCGCCGCAACAAGGGCCGAAGACACGGATGGGATCCGTCGTGCAGACCAAATGCGTCCCGTTTCTCGTCGGTTTTCGCTACACGTGTGCGCGACCACCATTTTCTTGCATCCGGCATCCGTCACGTTTTTTCGCTCTCGCTCTTAGACTTTTTGTTTTCCAGGTTTCTTCTCTCGTTTTCTACCTCCCTTTCTTTCACCTTTCTTACACATTTTTTTTTATCGCGCCATATTGGCTGGGGAAATAAATTTTTCTCTGATCCGGAGTATCAAAAAATTTGTAGGAAAAAATATATCCATTCCGGTGTACGGAAAAACTTGTGTAAATTCCAATTTTTTTCTTCCGTGTTTGAGCTCTCTTACCTTTCTTTACCCCAGAGTTTTATTTTTCTATTCTTTTTTTGACAACTATTATATTTGCAGGTGAAGTAAATTTTTGCCCCGACTCGGAATAT